AAGCAAAAGTTTTATTCAAAAACTAACAATGTACACAATGGCAAATGAAACAACCAGGTCAGGTAATGCTTATGTAAGTAAACAGGAACACTTTTAGTCTTCTAGAAACCACTTGAATAATTCTTCCAAAGTGTATCTGAGGACAACATTTCTTTTACTATCCTCCATTTTCCTTAAGGTTTCCCACTTATAGACATAATTTTGTAACATGTTAGGAGAAGCTGATGAGCTAGGTTCATCTGCTTTCCCATGTTCTCTTCTTTACTATTCACCCAAGGTCAGGGCAATTTCACAGAGGACTAAAATCCGCACCGAAGCAGGTTTAAACAGCCTGCTTTTGCAAACTTTTCAGTACCCACATACCCACCCAAATTCAGGGCTTTCCCAGGAGGTGGCTACATGCCATCCCGATTGAAATTGGGATGGTATGAAGCCACTCCGAAGCCCACTGCTTCCCCCTAAAATTTAAATAAAAGATACCTCGCCGTCATAAAGATTTTCCTTGTGTCCTCTCGGTGTGAGGAAATTATGTTTGAGGAGTGTCATTTTGTGTGTCATTTTCTCGAGCATCATTTCATCTGTCTGTATTCAAGCGCATCATTTCCTTGAATCGGGAGGATGCTAGGAGAACCTTTTTGGCAGCAAGGTACCTTGTAATTAATTTTTTGGGCTAAATTTGGGGCTTGGGGAGAGAAGTTGGGTGCCATCCAGCACCTCCAGGCTTTTCAAAGCCCAAAGAAGCAAAATGGCAGTGGAGACACACCCCCAGGTAGTTCCAGGATTACCTGGAAGTAAATCTCCACATGCCCAATACCCCGTTAGACCCAGACTTTTCAGGAAGACCCAAATCTAATGGGGTATCTAATTAATCCAGAACAAACTGAGAAAACCCTGGTTTGTTTTGAATTAATTTGTTTTTACTAGAGGCGTCATTTGGACAGCTCAGATAAAAAAAAATTATTTATTTACTGTATTTGTATACCGCCTTTCTCTGCCCACAGGCGACTCAAGGCGGTTCACAGTGTTGACAATAATTCAAAGCAATTCAACAATTCAAAACTGAGACAGGTTCTGGGTTTTGGGCTTGTCTGGATGAACCCTCAATAACAGATTACTTAGCTTGTTGTAGACAGAAACACACAGGTATAGTAACATCAACCACAGTAGAATCCCGCTTTTCCCAGTTCAAGCCTTTATTGCATCCCACCTCACTGAAAATGATGAGGGCATATATAATAAGGCATGCGAGGACTAGGGCAGAATTTGGGCCTTTTGTTCTGGGGATACACTATTTTTAAAATGCTTTGATCTCAAACAGTGTAGGATTTTGACCACCATTTTAATTGTGCTTGGAAAGGGACTGGTGCCCAGTGCAGCTGTTTGGGTATGATATACTTTTGTCTTCGATCCCATTCTGCAGAGTCCTGAGCTACGTTCTGTTTTCCACAATTTCTATAAAGCTATTGTCTCCACAGTCATTTCCTGCATTATGCAGCTCCTGACAGAGTCTGAAAGAAAAGATGCAACCCTAACCAGATCAAAGATATCTCTGAACAGGATCTGAGTATTAATGGACACCAGTGTCCCTTTTTTAAACAGGTCAAAGGCAAGAAAAACAAATTCTTTAAAAGGACATCAGGCTGTCTGCCATCAACACTGAGTCTGTTTTGTTGTGTTATTCCAAACATGAGCTCATTTTATTTAAAAGCCAAAACTAAATTGTTTAGAAAGGAAGAAATATGAAAACTGTTGGCTGTTTCTATTTTAGGGGGCTTTCTAAAGGAGCTTCAAACTATTCTACAACTGCTTATGTAGGACTTTATTGGAGAATCTGCTATTCCACTTAATTGTGTTATCCTTGATAGTGGATAAATACCATGTTGAGCAACCTTGATATTGCATTTCTCTTTATTAGCGCAATTACACAGATTCACCAATTTGTGGTCCTGCAACCATACTTTCGCACATCTTCATAACCCCACCTTCCCCTACTACTACTTTTTATTCTTCTTGAATTTTAATTTTAGCATACTTGCATGATCATGGCATTTAAAAACAAACAAAAAGCAAATACCAGTATAAAATATAAATTAATAGGGAACCAGGCAGTTTGGGAATAGCAGGGGGGAAGAGGGAGAGAGGAGGGGAATCCTGTCCTCTGATGTCACTTCATTACCTGCATCTATTACCGGCATGCTAGTATAGAAGCTGAGGGGACCCATCCCATCAAGGGAAGTGATGGGAATGTTCAGAGACTGGGAGCTATTGACATGTTTTACCAATTAATAGCTAGAGATGGGAGAATAACAGGAGGAGGCAGAACAACAGCAGAATAAATGTGGCATTGTGTGATAGAGACTATCACCAAAGGTAACAGTCCAGCTGTAATGCTGGTTTGCCTGTCTTGTGTGATGAGGCTAAGTGCACATTACATAATGGACTCTGCATTATCACACTATATCTAACAGAGTAAGCAAAGGGTATGCAGTCCATTTGAAATGCCTTTGTCTGCCTCCTGCAGAATTCTGGAGCTTGTAGTTTAGTGAGGTCTAGGATCTTTCTAGCTGAGCATTTAAAGCTCCAGAATTCTTCAGGAGGCAGCAACAGAATTTCAGATGGCATGCATACTCTTTGCCTGCTCTTTCATTTCTAGTGTGATAAACCGTGAGATGGGAATCCAGCTTATTTTACTATAGACTTTTCCTTGGAGCACTTAGACTTCTAGCTGTAGGGAGCTCTGTTGATTCATCTTCATCTTTATACACGTCCTTCTTAGGCTGGATCTACATTTAGTGGTATGATGAATGAGTGAAAAAAGCATGGCCACCTTCAAGTACTGAAGGGAACCAAGATACTTTCTCAATCAAACCAGATACAGGCAGCTCCTGGGTTACAAACATCTGACTTACATAGTTAAGAATGGGGGTGAGATAACAGGAAGTGAAAGAAATCCCTCCCCGTCTCAAAAGGAAAATTCACTCCTGGAAGAGTCATCATGGGGGAAAGGTGTCTCACCTGAAGCTTGATCACCAATCCTTGTTTCCACAACAGCCTTTTTTTTTTTCAAAATCCAATTATCACAGGGACAGAAAAGTAAGGTGAAATCTTCTCAACAGAGACACAGGACCTCTCCAGGCAGGCCCAAAAATGTTGGGCCTCTCGTGCTTTTATCGGAGGCATCCAAACAAATTAATTCAGGACAAAGCAGGCAAACCCTGGGGTAACTGGGAACCAGAAAACTGCTTATAAATGAGAAGGTGGAACATGTTATTTTAATATGTTATCTGGGCCTATATGTTATAGTTTCACTTAGATACTGCTTCCTCTCTCTGTTCTTTTTAATTAAAGCATGAAGTTCTGTGATCCCCCCAGTCTATTATCATTGCTTTTTTTGTGCTAAAGGCAAAGAATTTCAGCAAATGTCTTTTATATGATATGACATTTACTGAACTCCTAAAACTTTAATATTAATATTATATTTCATGTTTTTAGAAACATTTCCAGTTTTACCAGAACCCCATAGTAGTTATTTATTATGATTAACTAGGAGCTAAGTTTTTCAGTCAATGAAACACAGATAAGAATGGGTCTAGGGCAGTGGTTTTCAACCTGTGGGTCCCCAGGTGCTTTGGCCTACAACTCCCAGAAATCCCAGCCAGTTTACCAGCTGTTAGGATTTCTGGTAGGTGAGGAACAAAACATCTGGGGAACCACAGGTTGAGAACCACAGGTCTAGGGAATAGTCTGGAAACATGAGCAGAAGTTTCCCTGCTGAACTAAGCAAATATCTGCCCACTCACTAATCTGGGAGAGAAACCTCTAGGATCTGAGATAAGAAAAAAACACATATGCAAAAAGTTAATAACTTTTAAAAACATTACTAGAATAGAAGCTGCCACCGGATTATGCATTTTAGTGTTTAAACTCCATTCAAACTACTTCTTTTCACTGTGATGACTTATAGTTAGTTTTAAATTATATGTTAAAAGCCAAGTCTCAAATTCTGTTCTGCTCAATATTGGTATCAATGAAAGCTCCAAGAAAAAATGCTGCCACAAGACTTGAGCGGAGACAGTCAGAGGCCATAGTGACTTAATGGCCAAAGTAGCCAAAGATTTTGCCTGAGCAATGCCTCAGAAAACCTGAAGCTTTATTTTTATCGCAACTGAATGATTTTTATTGCTCTCTTAGTCACAGATCAGTTTGTTTCCTTTTCCCCATTCTCATTCTCTTTGCCCAGATAGAACAGAGAAGGAGTTCTCCTATATTTATAACTGGGTAAGAGATGCCCATCATCACTTCTCTAAATAATGCCAATTATGCATCCCTTGATTTGCCCCCATTCCTTGTGACTGCCCACTCACTTGTCCTCTCCCTTCATAATCCTCAGAAGGAGACACCAAGGCAAACAAGGACTGTGGGGGCTTCATCTTCTTGTCACCACTTCAACAAGCTCATATGTAAAGGCAAGGGGGAAGCGAAGATCCAGAATCTTAGGTGAGAAATATCAATAACCTTCCTATTAAACTGCAGACCTCAGGAGATACCCAAAGACTCCAATACTTAACACCAGCCCTGTCTTGATATTTCCTAGCACCAAATTCTGCTCAGCATACATTTTTTTCTGCTCAAGGCTTCAGGAACACAAAGTTGCAGAGCATGCCAAAAATTGTATTCTGTTAAAAATGCTTCCTATAAGCATGTTATAAACATTAATAGTAGAATGTAGAAATAACACAGAACTTATAAAATCAAATCCAAATAATCAGAGCTGATAAATTTCACAAGCAAGCAAGATAAAAATATTAAGACTTATAATGTTAGATATCAATATAACATGCAAATATCTCAGTGACTTGGTTTATACTTCTCCTTAGTACATCCAGTGTTAATTTAGTCCTCACTTTTCAGTGTTCACTGGCCACAAACTGAATTCATTTCTGAGGAAGTAATTTGTCACCAGACAAGGAAATAATGTGAGACATGTGTGCTGCACTTACCGATCAAGAGTATCCCGAGACACCTTACTTCCTCCAGCTCTCCTGGTGACACTGGCAGTTTTGTTGGCAGTCATGGTCATTTCTGCTTTCTCTGAATCTTGAAACCTGGAGGAGAGGGAATAAAATCCAAAAACACTAATTGAATCGTTGGGCAATTATTACATTATTTATTCATGGTTTCACTTATATACTACACTCAAAGCATCTTACAAACATAAAAACAAAAACAAAGACACATAAAAACAGAGAACTAAAAAACTTAGTAAAAGTTACTACTACAGTGTGATTAAAGTTAATGTTACAATGTACAGTATTTACATCGTTTTAATTTACATTGTGTTATATTTATTGTTAGCTGCTTTGAGTCCCTATATCAGAAGAAAGGCATGTAATTAAAGTATCTGCAGTGTCAAAACCAACTAAAACAAATCCATTCAAAATAGAAGAAGATTTAACAAATCAATATAACAGAGACGAATAAATCGTATCAGTCAGTTCCTAAATGTCTGATGGAATAAAAAAGTTTTCCAGCTGACAGAAGGGCAACAAGGCCAAAACCTTCTTAACCTCCCTAGAGAGGGGAGTCCAGAGACTGGGAACAGCCATCAACAAGCTCAAGTTGGCGGAAATGAGAGAAGGATCTCACCTAAAGATCTCAGAGATTGGTAGACTCAAATAGAAAGATAGAACCTTCCAAACATCTTGGGCACAAGCTATGTAGTGTTTTATGATGATAACAAGCACTTTGACTTGTGCCCAGAAATAGACCAGTAATCAGTGGAGCTGTTTTAATAGGGGAACTCTGTAACTGGCCCAGGTCAAAAATCTGGCTGAAGCTCTTTGGATCAATTGAAGTTTCTGAGTACTTTTCAAATTCAGTCCATTATGTTAATCAAAATTATCTGTAACATAATTATCTGAAACCTGAATGTCTAAGTTCAGGGCTAAACCCAGAAATTCATGCAGCCTGAATCATAAAAGGATTCAACCTGTGACAATATGGTGCCCTTTTATAAAAGGTTTGAGTTTCGCTACCTTGACAATGATGTTGGGGGAAATGCAAGGAAAAAGGAAGAGGGCATGATGGATGGATGTTATCCTTGAAGTGACCAGCTTGACCTGGAAGGAGTTGGGGGTGATGAAGTCCAACAGAGAGCTCTGGCATAGGCTAGTCCAGGAGGTCACAAAGCGTCAGAAGTGACTGAACAAATAAACAACAATACCCTGACACAGAATACTTTTGAAGTTGGAGATTTCATTTTTTAAAATATATTCAATACATTTCTGGTTTTCCCTCTCTCCAAAACTGCCCCAGTTGATGGAAATAAAGGTAGAAATGACACATAAATTGCAACATATTACACATCATTTTATTTCTATTTCTATTTTACTTTTAAAATTAGACTGGGACCCTTTAAGATGACTCCAAAGACAGATGGAAGAGAGCACAAAATACAGGAAAAAAATAACTACCACTATCAAGAAATTTCCAGGATCATGAATATTTTTAATAATCAAATTTCATAGCCTGATAAAGTTATTATTTTCACATTAAAGTGTGATGGTTCCTCGTTGCCTCTGCAAATTCTCAAATGGCCCATTTTTATTTAATGAGCTGTTATTCATTAAAAAAAACTAAGAGGCAAATTTTCAGAAACGTACACAAATGCTGCTGGCAAGTTTTCCCAGTTGAAACGACACAATGCCAATGTTACAACAGCATTTTGCTGTGAATAATTTTCACAGATCAAAACCAAGGCCTGGAATGCACATCTGCAATAAAGCTTTGTGGGTCTGGTGCTAAAAAGAGCATTATCACAGAGAGTTCTCCCCCCCTCCAGTGAACTTCATTTTGCTCAAGTTCAAATAAATTCCAAAAAGCACAGCAAAGTCCAGCTGCAGCCTTTCCATTCTTCCTGTAACAAATGAATCCAACTTCACCCACGTAGCTCAATCAAAAGATATCCTAACATCAGGAAAATGTGCCTGGAATTCTGAATCTCTCTATGACAAAGCTTGGGCAATCCTCTGTTCCTGCTTTCTGATTCTGTCAGGCATTATTTATTTCTCTTGGTTTCCTCTAGTTTTCTAAAAGCAGACCTCAATCAATTTCTTTCATTATAAGGAAAAGATGGAGGAACCAGTTTGGAAAAATATCATATTTTTCCAGAGATACCTGGCAATCCAGAGTGAAGAGACTTCTTATTAGGTTTACACCACCTGAACATCACATGTTATTTCAGTTACTTTTATTGTTGTTGTTATGCTTTCACATTGTTTCTGACTTATGGCAACCCTAAAGTAAATCTATCACAGGATTTTTTCAGGCTTTAAGTGTGTGACTTGCCCATGGTCAACCAATGAGTTTCCGTGGCTAAGCAGAGAATTGAATCCATGCCAGAGGCTCAACCCACTCTGTTGATCCTCCACATTTGCAGATTTAACATTTGTAGATATTCACTATTCGATTTAAATGTTTTGGCAAGGAATCTTTACTTTCTCCAGTGTACCTCTATGGTCAATTTCTGCTAGAAGTTGATCATAGAGTTATGTCAGAGGAACTAGAGATTCATAAATAGAACACCTTTCCAGGATTCATTACATTCTCCAGTGTGACTATGTGATCAGCTTCCAGTGGAAGTTCACTATAGAGTCACACTAGCATACCTAGAGATTCATAGAGAGGTATTCTCTGAAGTTAAAAAAAACAACACTTTTTATTTGTAGTAATTTTCTTTGTGTGGGGTTTCTAATTCCAGCAAATGTGAAGGGCTGACCAATATGTTCAGTAGACTCTACTGAGACCATGATGGTTGGAACCTTGCGCTCTGAACATGCGCCCCACTGCAATTTAAGACCAAAGCTCCCGCCACCCCATCTCTATACTGTCTAAGGAAAGTTATGTGGGAAGAAGAAAGAGCATGCAGAGCAGTACTGGAAAGAGTAGAACAAAAACATCGGAGTGAATAAGTCTGGAATAATCTTTTCACTCTACTCCCATGCATGACATTTCATGTGCCTTTTTCTAGCTTGACATAATGTAACAGAACTTTGACCTGTCAGGAAACAATGATCTCACTTTAGAAATTAGGTCAGGGGTCCTCAAACCTTTTAAGCAGAGGGCCAGTTCATGGTCTCAGACCATTGGGGGCCCAGACTATAGTTTGAAAAAACATGAACGAATTCCTATGTACACTACACATATCTTATTTGTAGTGCAAAAACAATGAAAGAACAATACAATATTTAAAATAAAGAACAATTTTAACCAATGTAAACTTACCAGTATTTCAATGGGAAGTGTGGAACTACTTTTGGCTGATGAGATAGTTAAATTAATTAAGATTATTGTTGTTGTTTGCCTTCAAGTCATTTCAGACTGAGGGTAACCCTAAGCCTAAAATTTAGGGCGTGTGCTGGGTAAATGACCTAGGAGAATGCATCTGGTTCATAGGTCTTAGTTTGGGGACCCCTGAACTAGATAAAACAGATAAGGAGTCAGGTGAAGACCAGAGAGAGCGGAAAAGAAAGAAGTAAGCAATGTCATCTAGATCATTTTGACTATCTGTTTCTTCACCAAATGTGACTAGATTAAAATTATACCCAAAATATTTTATCAATTGCTGCTCATGACAAAATGTAATTAAGGAATGAACACAAAGTGTACAATGCACAAAATAATTAGGAGCATCACAGAAAATTATTTTAAAAACCTGCCATCATGTGTAATTCAACCAAAAGTTCCTTAAAACTGAACCTAATGAGAAAATAAATGGTTTGTAATTGTATAGTCTCACTCATAATTGAGACTATAAACATGGTGGGGTGCGTTTTTGAAAAATACCTTTATAACATTTATTCATCCTCCAAATTCTCACATTCACTTAACTCTGACATCATAAAACCTACACACCCACTCTTCTTGCCTTATACATATATCCAGACACACACACCTTAACAGCTGACCATCATTATTTTCTGCAGAAACCTCCCCAAGAACAGCTTCCCCCCCCCCCATGTCCTAAGGGTTTGTGTGCTGACAGTTTCTTAAATTTCTGTGTAGTTTGAATAAACATTGCATACCACCTCTGCTGCTAGAGAGCCCTAATATCAGGAGTGTCCCGTCCCCCATCCCCATCCCATCCCCCCACCCCCGCCACCTCCTGGCATGTCATTGGTACGTTCTTAAAGGCTTCCAGAGAGGCCTAATGATGACCCAGTAAGTTTTTTTTTCTTTTAAGGTTTTTTTGTGAGGAGGGGTTGGGGATAGGGGTGACCTTCTCGGTTCTCTGGGCTTTTGGAAGCTCAAAGAACCAAGGTAGGCAGTGAGGACTGACCCCAGGGCTGTGGATGCCGTCCCATGGGTCAGTCCCCACTGGCCCTTTATTCTATTAGACTCTGACCTTTCAGGAAGGCTCAGGTCTAATGGAGTAGCAAAGTAATTTGGGACAAAGCAGGGTATACCTGCTTTGTCTCGAATTACTTCACTTTTACCAAAGGCAACATTTGGACCTCTTTGGTAATAGTGCAACAGGGCCTGCATTTTGGGCCCTGCCTCGAAGGGCCCTCAGATCAAACTTAAAACTAGGGAAGTTGCGAAGGCACAAAACCATTACCATTAATTCCTACCACATCTCTTCTCCTTTTCTTCATTTCCCATAAACTTTATTTTCTTCAGAAATGTACTGGTGACAGTTCTGCAAACCTATTGCTATTTAATGTGGGAAACAAGATTTTAAAAGCACTTATATTCTACAGAAAGCAGTAGATACTGTTCCAAATCAACTGGGATATGTTGGTATGATGAGTGCTTGCGAGAGGCCAGCAGCATTCCTCTTGTCAACTATTTCCTGAAAACGCTCAGCAGTAAGTATGGCTTTATGCCCGTACTTCCCTGAAGATGGGAATTTCCTCTCCAATTGTGACTTTTAAAGTCCATCTGTTTCATAGTTGACAGAAAATCTAAGTCATTTTGACTGTATTACTTGAAAAATGACAGAATGTGAGTCAAAGATAGCCAGGCCAGAATGTTCATTTGACCCCAAAAGGCACAAAAGGCACTGCTTTTTCAAAAGGGCTCTACCAGGTGTCATAAAATGGCATTG